GTGGTGGGCCTTATACGGGCAGAATGTGGGGGCATTTGCACTCAAATCCCGGGCGTTTGGCCCCGCCCTTGGATGTGCAGGCGTCACCTGCAGCTGAGATCGTGACCAGGACCAGGACGACCCAGGGTCCTGAGGCGCCGCTGGGCCATTCATGTATAGTGTCCCTGAGTACGTCCGACAGGTGCCTGAGTGGCAGGGCAGAGCAGCATTGAGAAGAGGCTCTTTGTTCGCCAGCTCGTCGTCGTCTGCCTGTGACAGGAGGTAGGCACCAGAGGACCTGAGTTGAGTTCGTTTTATCTTATGGGCCAGGTATGTTCACCTTACACCTCTGGGCCTCAGTTCGCTCGTTCGTAACATGAGCCGTCGCTAATGCTAGATCAGTGTGATAAGTCATATCTTGGCCGAGGAGCGCGGCGGGGTACCCATGAGCATTTTGAGGATTCGTCTTTGGAAGTGCCGGTGGGGCAGTGCTTTCATCTAGAGCACTTGTTACCTGCTTGCCGTGCAGCCCCAGCAACAGGGAGGCTTCATCAAATCCCCGCCTTCGCGCTCGCCTCCTCGACGCTCTGATGCCACCCAAGCCACGGCCTCGTAAGATGTTCTTGACAGTGAACGAACAGAAGTGCAGCTGAGCCGTGAAAAAAGTGGGGGAAGATGGGAGCACAGATGTGGGGCGGCCGGGTGCTGGTCAGCAGGAAAGATACGATTAGATGTGCAAATCAGTGGAAGGGTGGGGGCTCATCATCGGCCTGCCTCTTTGTTTTTTTTCTTTTTGCAGAGAACTGTGTGGGCTGCTGGGGCAGGAAAGGACTGGTCTGTGGGCTCCTGGGCAGAGCCACCCTGGCCTGCTTGTTTAACCCTTCCTAGCCCCAGCTCTGTACAACCCCTGGGGAAGAGAAAGCTGTTGAAGGGTTACAGCCAGCTCTCCCTGTGAATGCTGCTGAGGGAACCTTTCTTTGCTACTTTCTCTCTAGGAAGAGGGTAAGGAATGTGTGGCACTTAGGTATGAGGTCAGGGCGGTAGGGGTTGGCAGGGGTTGTGGGCAGAGCAACACCTTGTCAGAGCAGGCGGCCAGGCTGCAGTCCCAACTTTGCCTCTGACTGCCCTTTACACTGGGAAAGACCGTTCGCCAACTGGTGCCCCCTCCATCTCACCTGTGAAACTGGGATAATGATCTTGACCTCCCAGGCTGGGGGCAGGGGTGAAGAGCAGAGAGGACACAGCCAGAGCGGGCGCTCCTGCCACAGGCTCTCCTGTGTGGCCGTCATTGCAGAAGGAGGGCAGCGCTCTGGAATGGCAGGCAGCACCTGTCTGGCTCTCTGCTCTGTCCCCGCTCCCAGGGTGACCAACTATCCCAGTTTGCCCAGGGCTAGTTTGGCTTTAGCCTGAATTGCAGGAAACCCTCAGTGCCAGGCAAACTGGGACGGTGGGTCACGTTACCCCGAGGTCTGGCATCCACAATGACTGCTGACCAAGTTAATGTATTTTTGTGCTCAGCGAGCAGCCGTTTCCTTCCTTGCACCACAGCTGGGGCAGCCCCTACAACTCCAGCAGCTCAGATCCAGGCACACAGGCCCCAAATCCCTGACGCTGACTCCTTCCCATGACCCAGAGGAAAAGCAAACCTTCCTACGACGGGGCAGAGCAGAGGTCTGTTTTTGTCTGAGAGCACTAAACTTCCCGAATTCAAAAGGATGCCCTGGTCTCTCCTGGGACCCCCAGGGTACAGCTGAGGGAATGCGGTGGAAACGGGTCTAATGACGGTGATCATGATGGTGGCGACTCTCGCAGCTGCCTTGCAATGAGAACGTGTGACCGCATGGCAGGGCTGTGCCTGGGTAGCGGCAACGCCCCACCACGTCCATTGTTGCCAATTCACTTCTCTGACTCCGGGCCCGAACAAGCTGTGTCCCATCCTGGGGCATCAGAGGAAGTGGGCTCATTTCTGCAGGGCCCCGCTCTCCACAGACACCCTGCTGAGCAGGGCTGCACGGAGCAGCTAGGACGAGGGAAGAGAAGCCGGGGTCATCGTCCATCACAAAATGGCTTCCCCGACTCCAACCAGGAAGGAGCTGGGATAAATAATGGGAAAAATTTCTCACAGACAAGCTGTTTTGAAGCAGTTTCTAAACTGCCGCTGAGGGACGGGAAGGAACCACATGTGAAAGCGTGGGTGCTGCTGGGAGCTCAGCCCGGCCTGTGGCCACCGCAGGGGCTGGCTCTACTCCTGGCTCCCCCAGCACCCGGCTTCCATCCATGTTCCCCAGGCAGGCCATGAGGGACAGAGCGGGCAGCCCAGGGGCCACGCAGCCTGCCTGTCAGCTTCAGCTGGGAAGAGTGGGTACTTCCTGGGGGGCCCGCTGCTCAATCACAAGGTAAGCCCTAGAACCGGGACCCTGCGAGGGGTGGACAGTTCTGTGACCACCGCAGCCCAGCTGGCTGGCCCCCAGGACGTGGGCAGGGACGCCAGTGCATGTGTCCCCTCCCTCGAGTGCTCCTCACCACCCCCGAGAGCACCTTCCCAAAGCCTTCAGGTGGGGGTCATCCGCCCTCCCCCGGGGAAGCCCCGAGTCTGGCATCTGGGTGTGTGGGGTCCAGTTTTCTCCCACTGTTCTCTGGGGCTGGCCTCTGCCGGGCTTCCTGACACTCTCCATTTCCTGGTCCACCAAATGAGCCGCCTCCTGGCAGGACTGGTTCCTCCTTCCCTCTCCCAGGCGGGATGGGGCGGGATTTGCACAGCTGTTTGTTGAGGAGCTGTTAGCAGCACAGGCCCCAGGCTCCTGATTGGCTGGAGAACGGATCTTGGGTTTGAGTTACTTCTCTGTAAATCTCCACCCCTCCGAGCCCCAGTCTAGGTAGAAGGAGACCACATCAAGTGGGGTTTTGTTAGGGGCCGCTTGATCCTAACCACCATGGCTCCCAGCCTTCCCTGAGGAGGGGAGGATCTGCAGGAGCAGCGGAGGGGAACCAGGATGGGGATGCTTTGCATTTTGACAGCTTCTCCAGGGTCCTCCCTCGCCCGTGGGCTGGCTGTGAACACTGACGAAGCTCCGTGCAGGATGCAACTGAGAGGACAGACGCAGCGGGGCAGACCCTTCCGGCCT